AACGTGATAGCGTTAATACTATCACGTTAAAACGTGATACGTATCACGTTTTAACAAGATACGTATCACGTTATAACGTGATAGCGTTAATACTATCACGTTAAAACGTGATACGTATCACGTTTTAACAAGATACGTATCACGTTATAACGTGATAGCGCTCGGATTTTTTTTTTCCTGCCTGATAGCAACACGCTTCCGTAGACATGGGCAAAATGACGTCAATCGTGAAATTAGCATATCATGATATAATTTATTTTCTGGGGCAAGTTTTTTTTTTTTCACCGGTATTATTCTGAATGATATGATATGGCCCAGCCCCATCAGATGGTATCACCCGAATCATTTGTGCACTCTTTGCTGTGATAAATGCATCAACAATTTTATATTTCTGCTGTAAAATCAATTAGAGGATGATGTGAATTTGATAAAAATTAACCACGCAGAGTGTTTCCCTGGTTAGCTCCTACGCTAAGCCTCCAGCTGTGCATATTTTTGCATTAACAAAACATCATTTAAACATAATTAACATCAAGATCGTTTCCTGTCTTCTGAGTAGAATCCCTACAGGAACACTTGTCACCTAGAAATAATAAAAAAAAAAAACAAAGCTTGATTTCAAACCGTTCGGCTTTGGATCGACACATTCTTCAGCTCGTGTGACTTATTTCATCTGATCTGAGCTGTAAATCATTTTATGGTTTTGAACTTTCTGTAGTTTTTCTGTTTTTAATKTTGCACCACAGGGCAGAGTTGTAATGAGATAAAATGTTACAGTCTGAGTTTCTGTCTGTGTCGTATTTAGTCAAAGTAAATTAACGGTTTTAAATTCTTACTGACAGTTAAGTGAAATGAGCAGAAACCCTGTGGTCCCCTGTGTGATTCTGAACACTCAGGCCAAACAGAAAAGATTTAAATATCCAGGTGTCTCAGAGCAACAGCTCATTTCTGTGAAACCACAGATTAATGCCGTCCAGCTCGTCTTCAGCGCTGCTCAGATAATAAAGAGTGAAGAAAAACACCTGGAGATAAATGACCTGATTTTGTGTCTCTAATCACAGAGACAGATTGATTTCCTYACGCTCTCTGCATAATTATTTTCAAACCATCTTCCCAACGACCACAAACACGTCCAATCTATTTAGTTTTTTTTCGATGTACCGTTTAACCTGCAGGAGAGCCGAGGATCAGGAACTATCTGCTTTCCTTAGCCTTTCAAACTTTTATACGTCAAGTTTATTTTCTATAAAAGTAGATATATTTGTCTGATAGTGAGGAGTATTGTGTTTGACTGCAGCTTCCTCAGCGGAGCTGTGTGTCAACAGAACTCTGGAGACCCACTGCCGGCTCCTGGATGATGGACAATAAGAAAAGCGATGGGAGGGCCGAGGGACTGGAGGGAAGAATGGGAGCTGTCGGGAGTCGATGGGGGAACGAGTCCCTGGGCGTGCTGAGTGTTGGCACAGCACAGAGACCTGGTGCAGGTTTGTGCTGATGCTGACTCATCCTGCACCGGCTAATTAAACCCCACGGGGGTGGGACACACACAGAAAACCTGGGTCTGTTTTAAGACTGAAGATGAGGAGGGTGTGGCTGCAGCTGTTGGTTTTTAACTGATCTGATCTCCCAGGAAKCAGAGGAAGAATTTTAGAATAAGGTAAACAGTGTACACCCAGCTGGACTTGTTMTTGCTCGTTAAGCTGCCGGACCGAGCCTGGTGCTCTCGTTCAGTTTCATCATGGACCCACGTAGGCTGACAGRTTCCCCCAAAC